TGACTTTTTCTTAAATATGCTTGTATATCCTAGATGCAAACAGGCTGTCAGTTCCATGGATTACAACCATCTCCTCTTGTTCAGAATCTTTGGTCTTCAATGTCCTCTTATGAACAGAATGGAGTCTTTCTATGAATAGAACATTTAATTTTGCTGTTGTTAGGGGACATCAAGTCAGTTCCAACTCATAACGACCCCATATACAACAGAATGAAAGACTGCCCGGTCCTGCGCCATCCTCACAACAGTTGTTATGCTTGAGCCCACCGTTGCAGCCACTGTGTCAATCCATCTCGTTTTTGAGTACCTTCCAACCTGAAGGGCTCATCTTCCAGCACCATAGCAGGCAAAAAGTCAGAAGATTTTCACTAGCCAGTTTTTTTAGAAGTAAATTGTCAGGTGCTTCTTCCTAGTCTGTCTTAGTCTGGAAGCTCCCCTGAATCCTGTTCACCAGGCGTGACCCTGCTGGTACTTGAAGTACATGTGGCATAGCTTCCAGAATTACGGCAACACGCAAGCCATCACAGTACAGCAAACTGACAGATGAGTGGTGGATTCTGGGTGTATCTTCTTTATTTATGTAATCTTTGAGTATCATTTTTACTCCTTAACATGGGACTTGCAACATCATGCAATGACAAACTGTATACTTTGATTTGTCTTCCTAGCCTAGCCAATATATCTTGGAACTAAATAGAAGGAAAACATATCATACATCAAAACCATTAAAGACAACAGCAATTACAAAGAAACAAAAAAATCCTTTCCTCAATGCTATTGATTATTGAGGAAACGACTCAGTTTTATGTAACTTTGTACTCTGAAGTCATAAAAATTGTGGTTATTAAATGAAAAAAAATAAATGAATGCCTTAATATATTAATATCTCACTCAAATACTTAAACATTCTATTGTTTAATCAAAAACATTATCCTAAATATGATTTCCTTTTCTTACATGTCAACATTTTCTTCTTCATTACAGACTGTCATTCTTTCAAACTTTAGACTCAAAGAAATGCATAGTGTATACTTCAGACAAAGAGATATTGGATGAACCTTGTGGGGAGAAAAACCCTTCTATCTGTAAGCAACAGCTTACTTAAGGGCTTCTTGGGACATGGTGGGGCGAGGGGAGTGGAGAGCTATAAAGCAGATCCAGGATTAATAAGATCAGTATATTTCTCTCTTATATTATTATAGATTATCTACTTCTGGGATCTGTAAAATGTTGACATTTATGTCTTTTCATACACTTTCCATATATTTGAAGCCACATGCTTTCAAATAGTTAAAATTTCTGTGCCTATACCAGAAATTATAATACATCAAGGTAAAGGATTTTATGAATATTTTTACATTATTATATGGGTTTATTAATACTAAATTTTACGTAGTTTTATGTATATATTCTTGCAAATTCTCCTGTAAAAATTTACATAAATGTGACTTCATCCTGAATGATGTCTGTCAATCTCATTTTAGTTCTTTCTATGACACACTACATTGGGAAGTCCCATTCTCGTCTCACTTTCCCAAAAGTAAAAATAAGTTTAATGCTCTTTTTTAGTTTTTTCTGAACACATACATAATACATACGTACATATATAAGCATACTTGTGTGTCTGTGGGGGGTAAATTTAGAGATTAAAGTGCCGTATGTCAGTTTTTTCATATGTTTCATGGAGAGGAACACATCTCCATTTTATACTTAGATGGTTATCGAGTTTACATGACATTTTCCAGGGTACCATAACCCACAAATCCATAGATTCCAGTTTTTTTCTCCCGTAAATAATCATAGACAAAAGGTTGGTTTACATATAAAACACTCTCTAGATAAGGATTCTGTCTATCAAAAAGGAATGTTTGCTAATAGGTTTGTTCTTGACAAGTATACAAAGACTCTTAACCAGCTCACAGTCCTTCTTTCTTTCCCAGGAACCCCTTCCCTAGCCTGAAAGGAGAGAATAATCTGCAGCCCAATGCAGACAGTTTCCTTTTTACTCAGAGAATGCAAAACTTTTCCAAAACTGAGCTCAAAATAAATTTCTTATTTGAGACTATTGAGATATGTACTGTTACTGTGTTCTGAAAAATGTTATAAATATGCAGATAATGAAAAGACGCCAGATGTCACCGTACATGTATTCATTGGACCTCAGTTTCCTCTCCCTGGGTCTCTGCTCAGTTTTGAAAGACACTCTAGTTACTGGAGTCACCATTTGCCTTGAACAAGGGCACTGGATAAGCAGTAAATTACAGGAAAGACAGAGCATGGTGACCTGCGGCGGAGACTAGAGGAGGGGAGGACTCTCAAGGGGAGATGATCCTGCATCTTTGGGAAGGACACATAACTTTTCAAAACAAAATTATATAAGGAATCAACCTTCGTTTGCAGTTTTGAAAGAATTAAAGGAAGAAGTAAAAAACAAAAACAATATATATGTATATATACATATACATATATATATA